AGAGTGAATATACCTCACTCCAATCTTGTGTGTGATACCTTAAGGGCACCTCTGCCTTTTTATATATATTTATATATGGCTTACTTTGCTGCAATAGGAGCTCTCTCTTGTTTGTCTCCTTAATAAGTGTCAAAGTGATTTCTGTTTTGCAAGTACATCTACAGATTATATTTGTTTTACCACAATCACTGTTTGGTACTAGGTATTTATGATATATACACCTCAATTTATGTACACAGAGGTATATTCACTCTCTGTAAGAGGTTCACTGTGAATGCTTTTTTTTTGCGCACCAGCACTACTGTAAATTACTTTGTGTCCAAATCGTTTTACCAGGATTTGTTTTTGTTGGTTGCTGCATGTATTAAGATTTATTTTCCCCTTTGCGCCATCCTATTTATAATCGTTTTCCATAAGAATGAATTTATTAACTCACGTAGAAGTTGACAGGTTTCAGCATAAAAATAGTCGTCCTACGCGTTTCATCCTCAGGGACAATCAAACAATCATAAAATGCATATACAAAACCACCCCCCCCCTCCCCCCATTGGTCCTTAAATATCGTTGATTTTGATTGTAGACCTCCTTCGATAGGTTCCTGATACTTCGTTCAGGTGTTTTCAGTCTTCTCCTATTCACTTCCGTATTTTCGGCTTTCTGACGACATCTCATAGTTGCGCTTTGTGTTCCACATATGCGTTCCACTTGCGTTTCACTTTATGGTCTTCAGTTGTTTCAAAATAGTGATGATAAAAATAATAATAGTAATAATAATAGTGGTGATCATAAGTGGGAAATGGATAGAAGTTGACATGGTCAGATAAATATGACACAAATATGTAAAAAGGAGAAAAAAAATATATATATATAAAATATCTATATATATATATATATATATATAAAAAAATATATATAAATAAAAATAACAATAAAAATAGAAAAATAAAAAAAATTGAAAAATGTGAAAATAAAAATATAAAGATAAAAGTAAAAATAAAAATAAAAATAGAAATAAAAATAAAAAAGATCTATATTATATATATATATATATATATATATATAAATGTATAAAATTATATTAAAAGAATTATATAGACCATATGAAATTTTAACCATTTCCAAGTTTTTAGTCCAGAAAACACCATAGATCAATGTCTATGTTTAGTCCCCCTGGTTGTAGAGTTTTCAAAATATTTATCCAATATGTTTCTCTCTGTGCCAATTTTTTTATTATATTACCTCCCCTCCAATGGTTTTCTACTTGTTCCAAATCGATAAAATAGAAATCTTTCCAATTAAATTTTGGACACATTACAGTGTATGGGGACTATGTGCTTTTTAGAATGTTTTCTGATATTATTTTGATGTTCTAAAATCTGTTCTTTTAATTTACTACAAACATACTGCTTCCCACATGGGCAGTGGAGCAGATAAACAAAATTTTTAGTTTCACAATTAATATTAGACTCTATGAAGAAATCTTTACCAGTTACTGTACTTTGAAATTGTTTTATTTTTAAAAATCTTTGCATTCTGCATGCTTTACACTTATTACAAGTGTAAATAAAAACCCTTGTTGTCCTTCCTCAAGGTGCTCTCTTGTGTGTGTTTAAGTGCCTCGCTTGGTGCCAAAATATTTTTGAGATTTTTTGCTTCCCTAAAAATGACTGGTGCTCTTCCTGGAAGAACCTTGCCTAACACTGGATCTCTTAGTAATATTTTCCAATGATTATTCAGAATAGTTTTTATTTGATGGTGCTGTACATTGTACTGGGTTATGAAGGCATATTTATAATCTTCATTTCTTTCTTCTTCTTGTTTCTTATTATTATTTATTAAATTACTTCTATTCACAGATTTTATTTTTTGGACTTATTTCTCTAGTGTTTTTTTTCTCGTATTTTTTTTATATAAGTTTACCACATAGATGTTTTGCCTGTTTTTGATAGTCAGAATCTTTTGAACAGTTCCTTCGGATACGGGTTAGCTGGCTTTTAGGTATGGACTCTAGCCAGTTTTTATGATTGCAGCTTTTTCTATGTATGAAACTGTTGCCTTCTGTTTCTTTAAAGAAACACTTAGATTGAATGTCTTGGTCAACTATGTAGAATGTGATATCCAAAAAATGAATTGTGTCAGAATGAAAAACATGTGTGAATTTAACGCCATTATTGTTGGTGTTAATGAACTCTAAAAATTTGGTTAATTCGCTCGATGTTCCCTTCCAAATCAAAAGAATATTGTCTATAAAACGTTTCCATAGGACCAGGTTTGCTACCCAGCCATGCCCCCTCCACACAGAGCTGACTTCCCAGTCTCTCATGTAAATGTTTTTTCATAGCTGGGGGCAAACCTGGTCCCCATGGCTGTACCTGTTTGTTGTAAATAAAAAGTGCCATCAAAAATAAAATAATTATGGTTTAAAATAAAATGTATACTGTCAATTAAAAACTGCCTTAAATATTGTTAAATCAATGTATCCACTTTAATTATATTTTCCACTGCTCTAACTCCCATTTCATGTTTGATGACCGTATACAGAGAGGTTACCTCTATTGTAACCCATATATCATCTCTTTCCCATTTCATATCTTCCAGAATTTCCAGAATATGGGAGGAATCCCTCAAATAAGAGGGGGCCTCCTGCACATATTTCTGCAAATGATGGTCTATGAATTCAGACAAATGTGCGGTTATGGAGTTTATCCCACTAATGATGGGCCTTCCTGGGGGTTCTTTTGGATTTTTATGCAATTTCGGTAAAAAAATTGGGATAACTGGATGTGGGTTATACAAATAATCCACATTCTTTTTGGAAATCAATTCCTTTTGTCGTGCCTTACATAATAAGTTGAAATTTATTGTGGGATCATGATTTAATATAGAATATATGACCCTGTCTCACAAATTGTTCTAGCTTCCTGAAGGTAATAGTCTTTGGTCATAATGACTATTGCACCCCCCATATCCGCCTCTTTAATAACGGTGTTGTCCATTTTTTTGTAATTTCTGGATACTTTTCTCCTCTTGTTCAATTTCTTCCTGGTTTGTTTCTTGCTTAATTGCTCTAAAGACTGCATGACCATATTATTGAAGGTTTCTAAATGGTGTCCCTTACACCCTACCACAGGCTTCCCCAAACTCCGGCCCTCCGGATGTTGCTGAACTACAACTCCCAACTCCTATTTAATTCATAGAATCATGGGAGTTGTAGTTCAGCAACATCTGGAGGGCCGGGAGTTTGAGAAAGCCTGTCCTACCGGATAAAAATGAGATGGATTTACAAATTTATTTTTCCTTCCTTCTATTTGTTCTATATTTATATTTGTAGATAAGGTCTCATTTTGTTTCTCATTTTTAATAAAAAACCTTTTGAGGGTCATTTTTCGGATATATTTTTGAAGATCTATGAAATCTTATATTATTTAAATGTTTAGAAGGTTGTTTAAGGTTTAAATCAATACATGTCATGCCCAAGAATTCAGTGTACCTTATAAGATTAGACATGTACCTTACTATCAATAACAGTGACAAACTACATGACATCATAAAATGTGCAGTGTTATCAAATGCCATACAAACGTTACCCCTTGTCTAATGATGTGCTTACTATAGCTGTTGTGGCATTGTAAGTTAGTATGTTTTATCTGTGCAAAATACTAAAATAAGAATAATAAAAAAAAATTCAGACTCTTTAATTCCCCTTTTACACACCATAATTCACAGATTTTTCACTATTGAATTAATTTATGTCCTTTATGTTTTGTTGTATGTATGGCGAAGTGCTATGCAATAAAGTTTTTTGGGTTTTATTAGTTTCACCTAATCAATGATTATTCTGTTTGTGGTGATAACGATCTAATCCTTATTCACCTTAGTGGAATGTTCATCTCTATAGTATGATAGATCATCTCAGCCTTCTATCACTAAAAGTGCCATATTGTTAATCATGTGATTGATGGATCTCCATCCTTTCTTCTAAACATTAAAGCTTGCCGGTTCTTCATTTATGTTCATGTTTGTTTGTTTGTTAGCACATTATTTTTAATTTTCAAGTTCTAGTTCTAAAAAAGCAATAATTTATTCAAATATCAAAGCCTGTGAATGGCAAAACTATGTTTCCAGTTAATAAAAAAACAATAATTCATGTTCCATACACCACTACACCAAAGACCTGATCAGATCTTCTGCAAAAGTCAGTGCTCCCACTATAAGATCCACAATCCGTAAAGCGAACAAATACAAATCACAATGGTTTTATATGGAGGCCCAACAAGACTAACTTCAATTTCATGATGAAGTCATAAGATGGTAACGCCAGAAATATAATTTCCAGTTGGATTAAAAGTGGAGTCTTTTCAGGTTTCTTTTGTGATTGGTCAATTCTCCCACAAATAGTCCATAAAGTAGTGCAAAAAGATAATTTACAAAATTCCAGTACAGACGCTCCTCACTTACCGACCGGGTTCCATTCCTACAACCCGGTCGTAGAATTAATTGGTCGGTAAGTTAGGAGTTAAGGGATTCCCTGCCCTGGTGCGTATGTCTATGTTCTGGGAAATTCCCCCGAACATAGATTAGAGGGATACTCTGCTCTCGAGCATTTGTCTATGTTCCGGGAAGTTTACCCGAACATAGACATGCGCACCAGAGCAGGGAATCCCCACGACGGCTCTCACTTACGCCTGGTCGCAAGTGTGAGCCGTCGTAAAACAGGTAGGTCGCTAAATGAGGACCACCTGTAATAAATTATCTCAATAACATTGTGTAGAACGAAGTGCAAGTCATCAGCTAAATCCATAGTGGATTTCCACGGTTTCAAAACCTGGCCGTACTAACAATACTAAGTCTTTCTAATAACAGTCAAAGCGAATAGGCAAATATTGGGGTTTATGCAAAAGGCTTTATGAATAAACGGTATACCTAATCTTTCAAAATTTCATAAATATTAGCACAGAAGCTGAAATACAATTTTTGTCAGATAGAGTTGGCTCTACCTACAGGTCTTTAGAATGAACTTGATGGAATTTTCGAAATTCTGTGTGAGTTTTTGGGATACTTTTTACAATGTCCTATATAGAACAAATACTGTTACAGGGCTTTGAAGGAGGAAGCCTATTGTGACGAGACCGTTGTGCATTGGAGGAGCCTGGTTGCCCGCCTGCTGCCTTTAGACTATGGCCCCATGTTGAAACGCTTGATTTTCCCCTGCGGAGACACGAAAGCCGGGTCATTCGGTGCTGTCCCTGTTTGAGCGGTTATACCCCAGATAGCTATGCCATGGAGCCCATTCGTATAATGAAAGACTATGGGAAAGACTTTGGCTCCATGGCAATTGAACTGTATGAGTGTGCTCTGAGCGCCATTCAGTAATAATATGCACTCAGATCTGAGCTATCTGGGGATATGTTGAATGTACCTGTTTTGTGCAATGGCTGCACAGTTATATGTTTTTATGTGTTTTATTATGTGAATGTGATGCATACTTTTCAAGTTATGAATAATGTGGAAAAATTGTATTTCTCTGCTTGTGATAATTACATTACCCATTGTGTAAGGTAATTGTATCACAGGCAGAGGGGAGGATTTTGTGTGGGAGTGTCTGAGTGTATTGTATGTGTTTATTGGTTGTGTTCCAAAACCCTGTGGGTGGTACTAATGTGTAAGAATTTGTATATAAGAACAATAAACCCACAGCTCTGTCTGTTCACTGCTTGACCCTCAACACGGAGCTTTGTCTCGTTCTTGGGGGAATTTATTGTATGCTGTTCCAGTTTGACTGCTAGGAGTGTAAACCTATTCGTATGGTTTTTCCTATTCGGCTGTTTACAGCATTCGTATGGTTTCCTGTTCGGCGGATTGGTGTTCGGCGGATTGGTGTTCTGCAGTAGCTGTGCCTGTGTCTCTGGAAGGGAAGATCTACTAAAAGGCGGTTTAACCCTTTTATGCCGAGGGTGCCGTTACACCTATATTGTATCTCAGTAGCGTGCTCATGAGGATGAAAGTCTTTAGTCCCTCCTGCTCAAATGCATCCATGGAATTTGACCTACAAAGGTTGCATATTGTGACAATGAGCGTGTGTTATATTTACGGTATTTTACAGAAGAACTGAATGGTGGACTAACAGAGAAATTTATTTCTCTGTAGCGTGAAAATCAATGCTGTAGAAAGGGAAGTAGGACAATATGGGCTAAATTTAATATTGTATTGCTTCGAGGAAAAAGATTTAAAGATGGTTTATAGCAACAAACCCCAGAAACCATTGAATAAAGAGCTGTACACAAAAAAAAAAAAGTTAAGAATAATAATAAATGCTCATTCATCAGCACAATTGGTTGTTCAGGCGCTTCCGTCTCAAATGGATACAGAAATTCTGCCTCTAAATAAAGATGATTTGGCTCATCCCCAGACCCTCCTAGTTTCCTCTCAATCACGAATTTGCTGAGCAGCAGTTGAGAGTTTGGTGATGCAGCCTCTGCGCAGAGCATATTATTAAAGCCCTTGAGGTCTGTGATTATAGTACAATCTTAGCTGTGATGAATGTCATCTATTTTCTGATCGCGTTGAATCAAGGAAGGGCTGGCAGGGAGAGAGAGAGGGGGAATGGGACTAGATTAGAAAATAGGTATTTTTTTGTCATGTTCATTATAGCGGCCTGTGCAAAAATAATAAGAAAAAAAGTAACAAAGATGCCTTAAAAGAATCTATTCATATACCAGATTTAGCAAGTTGGCGCAGGAATTATTTTTTGATCCCTGTATGATTACATAACTGGTAGAATACAAAATAAATGCACACTTTTTTGTTTTACGTGGGATTTAGCCAAAGGGAAGGAAAAGGGGTCCTATGATCACATCTCCAAATGTCAGGAGGTACAAACATTTAAAGGGTTACTCCAAGCACCACAACCACTTCAGTGATTTGGAGTAGTCATTGTGTCGCTGCACATACAGAGTCAGAAGTGTAACTCCACCTCCAGCAGTGTCATGGGGCGTCATCAGCCAGTCCAGAACAAGAGTTTTGAGGCTGGTTAATGTCACTCACACTATTCCCTTTTTGAACGCTATCATTCCCTTTATATACTTAATGTTTTGGTAACCAAACGAGGACCACCCCCACAGCTTATTAAAAAGTTAGAACCTTTCGTTAACAAGTGCAAAACCACAAGGGAAACAACTAATGAATGCTCTCCTGGGAACGCAGGCAGCAGTACCTTATAATCGATTGCGTTGAACTGATTTCAGATAGGCACTCTCGCGAACACCGGAGAAGACAGAACTGCTGCCTGTTCAAGTTCCCGACCACCCATACGAACAGCGTTCGGGAGATAAAAACTACCGAATGGGGGGAGCATTCGACGCTTGAAATCTTTAGTCTATTATGTGTGGTTTTCGTATGGAAGTCCGCAAAAAGAGGTCGGCCGTTGCCACGATTCCTCTGGAACTATTTTGGGCTTCTACCTCGTGGACAGCCGGTCAAAAGTTTACCTTGATGACAATCCCAAACCACCAAACCGATCTGAGTGATTTTTGGATATAATGGTCAGTCAGATCAGGGCTATTCAGGGATGTGACACTTGAGGGGGTCCCATGTATTTTGGGGATACATTTGGGGTGTTTAAATTTTTTTATACTTTTCTGTACCTGGGAGATAAATGAGTTCGCACAGTTCCTGACTCAATTATTTCTCAGGCACAGGGGAGGAGTTTGCTGTGTGTATAAATTGAGAGTGCTTGCCTGCATTAAACAGATCTACTCTGCAAATTTCAGTGCACGGACAATGATTCACTGGTTAAGAGCGATCACCTGACGTGCTTAGCCAATGAATGAGAATCAGGATTGACATCCAGCTTCTGCAGATGTCGTAAACCTGCCCACAGAGGACACCCGGTCCCCGGTATGACCAGGTAAGAGGGCAAACCATTGTAAAATGGTTTGCTCCAGTACTGGGGAATAGTGCCAGGGTATTCCTACCACCATAACCACTACAGAGTGCTGTAGAAGTTATGATGGTTATAGTGACCTTTAAATGCCTTTGTAATATATATTGTAGAGAAGGTGGCCCCTTCTTCTAATGCTTTATCTGCATATATCACATCTATGTACTGATAAAGTACCTCCCTGCAGTATGTAGCATTTATTTTCTGCAGGAATGTAACAATTCAGTAATCAAGGAAGAATCTAAAAATATTAATACATTTAACTCACCCATGCAGCATATGGATGCTACCATACTTCTCCACCAGCAGCATGACAAATTGATGTATATCCAGAAAAACTTGATTAATTTGGCAATTTTAATGTGTGGTTTCGCACATATAAGGTCTTTTATGGTCAATAAAAATAATAGATTGAAAGCTCTTGAGCAGATTCGTACTGAATGGACAGTCCTTCACATGCTTTTGTCTGTGCATACTGTATTTTATTGCAGGTAACTGGATGTTATTGCAGGTAACATAGGCTCCCAACACTGGAAAGTATGAATTCAGGGTGGTGTGAGGCGGCCAGCGTCACTGATTACGCCAGAGGGGCGAGTTATCTGTAAAATGGAGGCCTCCTCCCTCTCTATATGGCAGATATGGTAATCATAAAATTCTCACAGTAAGAAAAAAAAATCATATCCTTTATTTCTACCTAGCAAGGTATTATTAAAAACATATCCCGTCACCCGCCATGATGGTGCTAATATAGACATGGCAATCATAATGTAAATAAATATGTAAGAATGAACACAGGTGTATGAATATCCATAAATGGCTTTCTATACACTGCCTCCTGCAATGATAAAATACCAGTCTGATGCATTTTAAGACCTTCAAACCTTCTGCCTTCTCTTCCATGATATCCCATTAACAGGAAGCAGCCTGTCTCGTGTAATATCTCGCCATTTCTCATTCTGACACTTATGACACTGACATATAGCATAGTGATGTGCACATTAGCCCTTAAAGGACCAGGGCTCTGCAAATTTATTGTTCTCGTCACATCTTGACATGTCACAGGTCCTAGAGAGGCATATCCCCCCCCTCAACACACAAAGGGTTAAACACCACATTCTTTCCCAGGTAGTGCAGACACATTCTTCCTGCCCCACAGAGCTCACAATTTGCATTGATGGCACATCGTCAGAGGAAAAGAAAATGGTGGCTAGTTTTTTTGATTGACTTTCAATCTGCAAATAATCTTTACCAAGTCAGATGTATTTGTCTTTCCCTCTTAATGTGTGGCGTGGTCTATGGTGATGCTGACGTGACCCCCCTTTTTCTCCTCAATCTTAAATCAGTCTGGCGATTATATAATGAAATGTCTGAAGTCACTTGCAAAGTTGACAAAGGAAAATAAAATGCAAGAGGCTGTAAATCTAAGAATCACCCTCTCTCTCTTTCAGCGTAAAGCATTTAGAGATATATTCCTCTCCTTAGATCAGCTTCTCTCTACCGGCTGTTCTCACAGAGTAATAAACTGGCTGGATAAATTTACTGGGAGCTGCCATCAGGCATTTAGAAAACTATAGTTCACCTAACTTAAAGGGATACTAAAGCTCCCTGTAGTGGTTATGGTGCTATGGGTATCTGGGCGCCATCCCTTGTTTTTCATTCAAACTGTTTTATTGCAGTTTGACCAAAACCCAGCACCCATAACCTGCCCCTTTCCAGCCATATTGATAATAAGTAAATTTCTACAGGACCCAGTGGGAGTCCATCCAGCTTGGACGCAAAAGAGTGCGACACTAACACTCAGCCTATCATTGCCATCCAAAATGGTTTGACAACAAACCAGCGCATGGCACCCAAAGCCTTACAGTGTAATAACTGCTATAGGCTGAAGTGGTTATGGTGCTTAGAGTACAGCGATAAACTCAGAA